AGAAACCAGACCGGGATGACTGGGAGAGCGGGCTGAATGCAATGGAGTGTGCGCTGCACTTGGAAAAAAGCGTGAATCAGTCACTACTGGAACTGCATAAACTGGCCACTGACAAGAACGACCCCCACGTGAGTCGCCGACACCAGGGAAACCATGGAGGGACGTTAGTTGTGCATTGAGGGCTGGCGAGCTTACCGATATGTTTCTTCCCTGTTCTGTTTTGCAGTTGTGTGACTTCATTGAAACGCATTACCTGGATGAGCAGGTGAAATCCATCAAAGAATTGGGCGACTATGTAACCAACTTGAGCAAGATGGGGGCCCCGGATTCTGGCCTGGCAGAGTATCTCTTTGACAAGCACACCCTGGGAGACAGCGATGGAAAGAGCTGAGCTTTTTAGCCTGACTGCTCCATGGGCCACCAAGGCAGCCACTTGCATGTTTGGTTTACCTTTACCTTTTCTACAAAATGTACCAAACCATCCTTTCGTTTGTACCATTCCTTCAGATAAAAGTCATTTGATACCCAGCTGTTGTCTTGAGATCTTAGGGTGGGCCAGAAAGCTTTCTAGACCATCTTGGTCCAGTTCTTTAAGCGCCAGAGTTTCTGTTTCAACCACACTTAATAAAATGAAGCTTCTGTAAAGATTTGTATTTACTAAACTCTTCAGGTGGGGAAAGAGAACTGAGGTGTTGGGTGTGTAGGATTCAGACAGCACTAAGCTGGAGCCTGCACTACGTGTTTCTGGGGATTCATCCTAACTTTACACAGTTTAAGTACAAAGGGCATTTGAAGACTGGACTGATCTTAAGACTGCTGGGTCTGGTTATCCATGAAGTGTGAGCCATCGGATTCGGGGACGTTAGTAGGCACGTTCTTTGGTGTGGACAGCTGCATGATTATGACTGGATCAGTACCCCTCTGGTGGATACTCAGGCGAGGACCAGGCTGATAATGCCCAGTAGGAAACGCGTTAGGGCTGTAGATCATCCCTAGAGAATTCCAGAAAGCAATACATTAGGATAAAAATGGACCTGCGTTTCTCAATAACTTAATCTTGGCAAAGGCTGAGACATGATCTGAAGAGATCACTGAAAACTAGTAAACGGGAGCCAACTATTTCCTTGCTAACAGCTATATTAGGACTCTGGAAACCCTATACAGAAGCACTCGTCTGCACCTGATACACATGAACATCCTTAACGAGCCATGGGAGTATTTGTAAAACTTTCCTAGTCCTAAATTCATGAAACTCTGAGATTGTTCCCTTTTTTAAAGTTTCAATCAAAATAGCTATGTGTTCTGACCACAAAAACAACAGCTTGAGAATCTAGAAATAAGGAAGTCAAATGTCCTCCCCACTTGAGTGTTTAGCGTGGGATGAGAAGGCTGTTGTAATTGGGTGAAAGTTTATAGTATTCAGGAGCTAATCTGGAATAAAAGGGAAACAAGAAGACTAGAAGCTCTGGTGTGGCACTGGATTTATGCGACAGACTGCAAAGTCAGAACTGCAAGGTCAGTGGTTCAAGCTCGCCAGCTGCTTCTTGGAAACCCTATACAGGGTCTCTATGGGTCAGAATCGACTCTACAACACTTTACGACAACAGAAGACTTGGGTTCTCCAAAGCAGTGAGGAACGAGATAGATTCCCTAAGGGCAAGCCCTTTTCTGACTATCTGCCTATGGGAGGTGGGCAAAACCTATCACCGATTTCAGGAATACTTGGGTCTTGCAGTGAATGGTTATGGGCAAATACTCTTTTGCTGACTCTCAACAACCTGGGCAGTGAGCTGAGTTCTTGGACTATAGTTTGGAGGCCCTATTTCTGTCCCAGGGTTTTGAGTCACCCTCCCCTGCTTAAAAGGAGCTCTGGTAGTTTAGTGGTTTGGGCTGTTAATCTCAAGGTCAGCACTTCAAAACTTCCAGTCTTTCCACGGTGACAGATGAGGCTTTCTGCTCCAATAAAGAGCTACAGCTTTGGAAATCCTATACAGACAGCATCGCTATGAGTCAGAACCAACTCCAGGGCACATCACCACCACCACCCCTACTTAAAGAGTGAGCTGGGCCTAGTGATAGATAGCATCTGGCTTCCCAGCCTGTCTGTAGTACTCATGCATTCCTGCTACAGCCTCTAGCGCTTACCTAAGAAGTCAGTCTCCCCAGTGATGTCCAGCCTGGGTGAAGGCCTCCTTAGAGCTCCTGCTATAGGGTGCTAGTTGCACACCCCAAGCCAGTGTTAGGCATAGGGCTCTCTAGTCTGATGAATGGAAGAGCTATGTGTAGGAAGAGGGGAGGGCAGTGCCCAGGGACAGACCTGTTCTCCAAGTCCAAGTAGGGATCTCCGTGGTCTCTGAGCTGAGTGTGCACATTGCCGGGATGATTTTCAGGGGCATCCGGCATATCTGCCAGGTTAAACTCTACAATTTTCCTCTTCTCATTACTTACTTCTGGGTGCTCCTTGAAGGCTGAGACCTGCTCGGGGAGCAATTCAAAACTATTCTTGGCCCCATGAGCCTGCGGGTTTAGGCTCTGGCCTCTGATAGCCATGTCTTGGTCTGTAAGGTTGTCGAGCCTTGAGGGCATTGACGATTCTGGTGGGAAGACCATGGGATTATGGCTGAGGGACATCTCTGGGGCACCGTGGTAACCAGACCTGTCATACTGTGGGCTGGACTTGAAATCATCCGTCTTCAGCTTCCAGACTTTGCTGTCCTCCTGGTCCCCATGGTACTGAGGGCTTTCTGGGACCATCAGGCCTCCCCTGTGGTCATTGAACTGATGCTTAGCATGACCCGCCTTGTATGGAAGAGAATTTCTCCTATGCGTTAGGAGGTGGGTCTTTGAGTTCATCTTGGTGGGCTGTTCATGGGACTGCAGCCCTAGGAAGCGGCCAATGATGCCGGTGGGCCCGCTGCTCTCCCCCTCCTCCTCACTCTTGTTATTGGGCTGAAACTCCATATCTTCTTCGTCCATGCTGAAGAGAAGAGGGAGATGCAGGACTCAGTGCAGAGCAAAGGGGCGAAGCCTGACCTCACGTCTCCCTCCCTGCCTCTGGCCCAGACCAAGGCCACACAGTCTGCTCCCTCCCATCCTTCTCGAATATCCAATAAAGCCTCTAGGTGCGTCTCCTCACTGCTCTGAGGCTCCCTCTTGTCTACAGAGTTTATCCAAGCGCCCTGCCTGGCACTTCTGGACCATTCTTTCCCCTGAAACCTCACTTCTGGGTATGGGAGGCCCAGGAATATCTCAGCAAGGCCAGGGACATGTGGTCCCAAGCACAGAGCAGCTTCTACCAGGAGGGAAGTTCAGATTGCTGGCAGCGGGCTTCAGGGAGCCCAAGACTTTTACTCTGCAAGAGAAAGCTATCTATCCCAGGTATGACCAGCCTTTACCATGTCCAAATTCTGCATCCTTCACGGCCAGCTACTAGCCCTTACTTAGGTATCCAGCACTCAGCGGCTGGTCTTCAGAGTTTGGGGCCTGGGTTTGAGCTCCCTTACTGAATGGTGTGCTCTCTGAAGGCAAGGCCTGTGCATTAGTATTCTCTCTGTATTAGTACACCCTCCCCACCAACCGTCCACTGCTGGAGCACAGGTCATGCAGAGCCCAGAGATGGCCTTCAGAAATGTCTCACTAAGCAAGCTTCTGTCCTTCCTTTGATGACGTTCCCAAACCCTTCCCACCCCAGTGAGGCACTCTCTCTGGTTAATCCTGATTACAGTGCAACAGGATATTTGACTCTTAAAAGAACAAGAGAATAGTGCCGGATGATGTCAGAGAATCCCTGACACCTATTCAGTCACCCCAGGATAAGGCTGTTTGGGACCACCTGCCAGCCCACTGTGGCCCAGACCCAGCTCAAGATGGATTCTGTCCCCAGGGACACAGGAAGTCTGGCTGCTGTGTGTGGTCCAAGGCCTTCCCTGTGTAAAACAAAGTCAACTCGGGAGGTACCCAGACTCCTGCTAGGACATGCTTGCCACCCATCCTAACTTCTTCTTGTTGTTAAGTGCCGTCGACTCGGTTCTGACCCATAGCAACCCTGTACAGGGTTTCCAAGGCTGTAAGTCTTTACGTGAGCAGAAAGCCTCATCTTTCTCCCATGGAGCCGCTGATAGTTTCAAACTGCTGACCCTAAGGTTTGCAGCCTGATTCGTAACCACTACGCTATCAGAACTTGGCCCCGGCAAAGTTCATTTCCACTTCTCATCCAGATAGCCTGGCTAATCTAAAACCAGGCCCTAAAATCCCTCGGGCAATTATCTTCCTTCTCTGGGCCTCAGTTTCCAACTTTGGAATGGGAGACTTAGACTGGAGCCCCCTAAGAGGTCTTCCAGTATTAGGGGTCCTGATGTGGCTGTAGGATCAGTATTGGACTGCAAACCACAAGATTGGTGGTTCACACCCACAAACCACTCCTTGGAAACCCTGTACAAGGTCGCTAAGAGTCAGAACTGACTTGATTGCACTTAACATCAACAACAAGGAGTCTGGTGGTATAGTGATTAAAGCGCTCAGCTGCTAACTGAAAGTCTGAACCCAACAGCCTCTCCAAAGGAGAAAGATGTGGCAGTCTGCTTCTGTAAGGATTGTTGTTGTTACGTGCAGTCAAGACGCTTCTGACTCATAGCAACCCTGTATGGAATCTCTAAGGAGTGGCTGGTGGGTTTGAACCATCGGCTTTGAGGTTCAAATTAACCTTGCAGCCCAGTGTTTTATCCTACAATGCCACACCAAGACTCCTCTATAAAGATTACAGCCTATGGGGCTGTTTTACTTTGTCCTGGACTCCTGGTAGGATCAGCGCTGGACTGCAAACCGTAAGGTCAGCAGTTCAAATCTACCAGCTGCTCTTCAGAAACCCTATCCAGGGTTACTATGAGTCGATAGCATTTAACAGCAACAACAATAGGAGTCCTGTTGGTGCTGTAGGATAAAGCACTGGACTGCTAGCAGTTCAAACCCGCTAGTCACTCCTCGGAAATCCTATTCAGAGTTGCTGAGTGGGAACTGAGCAACAGCAACAACATAGGATCACTGTGAGTGGAAATAGAATCAACAGCCGTGGGTTCGTTTTTGTTTTGTTTTTTAAAAGCTGAATAGCGTTAGTAAGGCAGGTGGAATTAGACACACTTAGCTCACATGTGCCACTTGCTAGCTATGTGGCACTGGGTTGACCGACTTACTTAACCTATATGAGATACTCTACCAGGGTTGGCCTCATTAACAACCTGTGATATGCAGATGATACAACCTTGCTTGCTGAAAGTGAAGAGGACTTAAAACATTCACTGATGAAGATCAAAGAGCACAGTCTTCGGTATGGATTACATCTCAATGTAAAGAAAACAAAAATCCTCACCACTGGACCAATAAAC